CCGGTGATCAGGGCAGAGTGACGTTCCCAGGAGCCCATCAGCAGGAGCAAGGTTCTCCTCCCCATTACTCACAGCCAGGCGGTTCCTCATCCCTGCAAGTCCCCCTGCTCCGGGATGCCCTTGGACACTGCTTCCGGATGCTGGGGATGCTCTGAATGGCAGGATGCTTGAGGTGCCAGCAATGCTCTCCATAGCAGGATGCTCTGATGCTCTGGATGTGCTGGAACACAAGAATGCTTCAAACGCTCTGGACCTCAGGATACTTCAGATGCTGGGATGCTCTGGACCTCCGGATACATCGCATACTGGGATGCTCTGGACCGGAGATGCTGGGGATGCTCTGGACCCCTGAGGCCCTGCACCGCCCCCCGGCTGGGCTTGGCTCCCTGCAGAGCTCTGTCCCCTGGGGCAGTGGGGCCGCACTGAGCTCCTCTCGCTGCTGCTGCTGCAGCCAGAGCCAGCGAGGAGAGGCAGAGCCGGAGCTGCTCCCAGCCACGCGCGCCGGGAGGAGGATGCAGCGCTCGGAGTGGGCAGGCGCCTGTCCCCGGCAGAGGTGCGTGCAGGGTCCGGGTCCGGGTCCGTGTCCCCGTGCAGGCACCAGCCAGACCTTCACCTGCGGCTCTGCGCTGCACAGCAAAGGATGCAGAAACGCGGATTCGGAGGAGGTGGGGCCAGGGAGGGCGAGGAGGGGATGGATGCAGTGAGATGCTGATGGGAACAGGGATCTGCTCTAAACTCCACAAAGTGGCACGCGGAGAGTTCCCTTCTCTGCCTTAAAGAGACAGCCTGCACCGTGCTCTGCCTCCCCACGCCAGCACTGGGGACCCCACGTTGGCCGGGCGGGTGAGCAGTGACCCTGGACCAGCAGGTCCGTGGGGAAGCCCTGCCCATGCCAGGCTCCATCCTCTGTGCTGGGTGATTTGAAGCAAAGCCACATGGAGAGCACCCAAACCTGCACCGAGAGCCCGCTCCGAGCAGCCACAGGCACAGGGAGGATTTGCTGGCTGCTTTTCCACCCATCTGCAGCCAGGGATGGAGGTGTGAGCAGAAGCCGAGAGCAGAGGCTGCACCGCACCAGGGGAGCATCAGCCCTCCCCTCTCTGCTCCATGGTTACCTGGGCTGGCCGCGGTGCAGCATCCCTGGGTGGACCCATGGCAACTGTCCTTCGGCAAGTGGGAGCCAGGGGGTCCCGCTGGCTTCTTCATCCCTTCTAGTTCAACACTTCTGAGTCTGTCAGTGCTGCCACCACCTCCACACATCACAGCCAACACCTCGTGGTGCTCGGCAGGGCCTGCTTTGGGGTTTTAACCACCCAGCTGCCAAAAGCCTTCTTTTCCTTCCAGTTCCTGGCCTCAGTTTCTGTTGGGGATGAGCAGAGCCAAGGGCACCGCCCCCAGCACAGGCCAGAGGGGCACAGACACTGCCCCTTCCTCCCTGCACCACCACAGATGTTGGTGCAGATGTGCGATGAGAGCCAGCTGTGCCCGGCCCCATCCTGCTGCAGCCCCAGCACCGCTGCAGCGCACAAGCCCCCACGCTGGGCCAGGAGCGGGGCTCTTTACCAAGCCCCACTTTCCTCACCAACTTCGTGCTTTCCCCCGTGGCCTAACGGGCGCTTGAGGCCTGGAACCACCTCAGGGCAAGGGATGGGAGGCTCTGATCGCAGCGGGAGGGACGGGGGAGCAGCGCTCGCACCAGGAAACCCTCCCTTCCTCAGCGCATCTGCGTGGGAGCGAGCGAGGCACCCAGGGAGCCCCCTGCGGCAGCCTCCAGCGAGAGCAGCGAGGAGCAGCGAGGAGCAGCGAGGAGCAGCACGTTCGGCCCAGCTGGCTCCGTGCGCGGGGGGAGCGGTGACACAGGGCAAAGCCACGCTCCCGTCCCCCCCAGCCTCGGGAGCAGCGCAGCTCCAGGGCTTCGGCTCCTGCATGGGATCAGGAGCGCGGCCCCCAGCACCAAGGGGAGGTTTCCCGTGCTCGGTTTGGACGCGGCCGCTGGGGAAGTGAATCCGAACCGATGGAAGCAAATGAGGAGCGGCTTGAACCTGCCCGAGGGGAGACTGAGCTGAGCTCTTAGGCAGAAGCTCTTCCCTGTGAGGGTGCTGAGGCGCTGGCACAGGGTGCCCAGAGAAGCTGTGGCTGCCCCATCCCTGGCAGTGCTCAAGGCCAGGTTGGACACAGGGGCTTGGAGCAAGCTGCTCCAGTGGAAGGGGTCCCTGCCCGTGGCAGGGGTTGGAGCTGGAGGAGCTTTAAGATCCCTTCAACCCAAACCAGGCTGGGGCTCCCTGATTCCATGAAAACGTGTTTAAAATCCTGCCTTAAACAAGCTCTGAATCCCACCATTGCCCCTGCGCAGGCTCCTGTGCCCCCGCAGTGCCCGTGTGCGCTCTGTCCCTGCGCACATCCCAGGGCACCTCTGCAGGGCATCGCGGCTCCACCAGCTCTGCTCTCCCCTACCACCAGCACGGAAGCCACAGGGCTGAGGAAAGGGCTGGTGAGGAGAACGGGGAGGGCCGAGGGAGCTCGGTGAGGACACGCGGGCGGTGCAGGCCAGCCCCACCAGTGCACTCTGTCCCCGGGGCCCTACTGCATCCTTTCCGTGGGGTGCCTGTGATCCCCACCCTGCTCCCTGCCTTGGGAACACACGGCACAGCCAGGACATCGCCTCAGCCCACCCGGCACCTCCAACCCCACGGGGGCCTCCCCTTTCAGCCCATCCCCTTTGCTGCTGCCCCAATGCAAACACGCTCCAGAGCTGCTCTCCAAACACGTGCAGAGCCCCCAGAGCCTGGGATTCATTCACTGAGAGCTGGTGGCTTGCACGGAACAGCCTCACATCCCACGGGAGCACTGGGACCTGCCCCAGGGTCAGGTCCAACAAGGGAGCATCGCCTGGTTGTGTCTGGCACAGCCAGGCTGGGGGCAGCAGTGGGAGCAGGGGTTTGTGAGGGCCACTCTGCCCTGCCCAGGGATGCCTGATCCCTTGGGAAATCCCTTTTCCACCCTTGGAAAAGAGCCCTCTGGTTTCCAGCCAAGGTGCTCTGGTCCCCTCCTCACTCAGGAAGGGATGTCCATGTCCACATCCATGCCCACATCCGTGCCCACATCCATGCCCACATCCATGCCCACATCCATTCCCACATCCATGCCCACATCCATGCCCACATCCATTCCCACATCCATGCCCACATCCATGCCCACATCCATGCCCACATCCGTGTCCACATCCGTGTCCACATCCATGTCCACATCCATGCCCACATCCATGCCCACATCCGTGTCCACATCCGTGTCCACATCCATGCCCACATCCATGTCCACATCCGTGTCCACATCCATGTCCACATCCATGCCCACATCCATGCCCACATCCATGCCCACATCCGTGTCCACATCCGTGTCCACATCCATGTCCACATCCATGCCCACATCCATGCCCACATCCGTGTCCACATCCGTGTCCACATCCATGCCCACATCCATGTCCACATCCGTGTCCACATCCATGTCCACATCCATGCCCACATCCATGCCCACATCCATGCCCACATCCGTGTCCACATCCGTGTCCACATCCATGTCCACATCCATGCCCACATCCATGCCCACATCCGTGTCCACATCCGTGTCCACATCCATGCCCACATCCATGTCCACATCCGTGTCCACATCCATGTCCACATCCATGCCCACATCCGTGTCCACATCCATGCCCACATCCATGCCCATGTCCGCCTTCCTCGGCTCCCGCAGCACCCCCAGGGCCAGGGAACATCTGGATGCCACGCAAGGCACTGGACCAAGAGTGTCACCTAGTGGCCACAGAGCTGGGAAAGGCTCCATGATCCCACAGGGACCCCCCACACTTCCACACAAGTGGGTCCCGACAGCCCCCAAACCTCCCGGCTGCAGCAACCTGGAGCACAGCAGCGCCCGGGGCGCCCACATGCAGCCCAGATGCTGGGAATTCGGGGTGGGTTTTCCCTTTAAGAGCTCTTCCTCCTGAACGGAACGCAGCAAGCCAAGGGGAGCCACTGCTTCCCATGCCCTGTACCCTCCTGTGCTGCTGTAAGCACCGAGCCTACAGCCACAAACCAGACAGGCACCAGCGCGCCGAGGGGTGGGAGTCAGAACCCATTTATTTCAGAAACACAAACCCAACCAAACCCCTTGTGAAACGGAGGGGGAGGCACCGAGCACAGGCTCTGGGAGCTCCTGTCAGGGCAGCGCCAAGAAATCAGCTCCATACAACAGAGAGGAAGGGGGAGCAGGAGGGGACCCACCCCGAGCTGCCCCAGCCCGGCACCGGCAGCCCCTGCAAGGCTCCATCTGCAGCCCCCACCCTTAAAGTGCAGCAGGGAGTGGGGGCAGAGGGGATGGCTCCCCCCCGCCTGCTCTTGGCCTTCCCCTGTGAGCCACAGCAGTGCCCATGGCGCCATCCAGCTCCCTCGTGGTGGCCCCAGCGGTCACCACCCCGGATCCCAACAACCTCACACGGCCCCAGTGGCACATCCTGGGGCAAAGCACTCCCCAGGGGCTGCTGACAGGGGAGGGCTGGGGCTGAATGAAGATCCAGCGAGGAACAGCGCATCCGGCTCAGCTCCTGAGGCAGCAGGGATGGAAGGAGGAAGAAGGGATGCTGCTGGTCCTGCACAGGAGAGCCGCGCATCTCCTGGCAGCCTGAGATGCGCCCCTTCCTCCTGCACCCCAGGGATGAGCCGTTTACAAGAGCAAAACCCAGAGGGACTCAGCAAGGGCTCCACAGGGGTCCGGAGCCTGCAGACAGCCCCTGGGGAGCCCAGCTCAGCTCCTGCTCTCAGCCAAACCCCCCCCAATCGCGCCCCTGCTCCTCTCAATATATTATTACTATTATGTGCAAGTGGGTTTGCATCCGACAACACCGAGCCCTCCCCTCAGCCCTGCTTGTGCCTCAGAACCTTCCCCCTTCCCGGGGGGGCCCTGCGGAGCAAAGCGTGAGGACAGGAAAGACTCCAGCACCCCCCTCCCTCCCCAAGCCCCGGCCCTGTCCCGCACCCACCCCCAGCCCCTGCCCACAAGGACAGTCCACAGGGGCCGGCTCACTCGTCCCCCTCCTCCTCGTGCTGGTGGTGGCTGGAGGCAGGAGGCTCCTCCAGCTCCTGCTGCTGGTGGTGGGCATAGTGATGGGGCGCGGGCCCCTCGGCGGGCAGGCTCTCCTCCGCGTTCAGGTACACGTTGAACAGGGCTCCCTCGTGGCTCGGCTCCTTCCCGCACGCCTGGCAGCTGCAGTGAAGGATCTTCTCCACCAGCTTGTCCACCCGGGGGATCTCGTCGTTGCCTGGGCAGTCCAGGGTCACCTGCACGGAGGGAGGAGGACGGGGGGGTGAGTGAGCAGGCTCAGCGACCGGATGGGCACGGGGATGTGGGTCTGGGCTGCCCCATGCCCTGCACATGGTGCACTACAACACAGAAGTGGTGGCTCATTATCCACATAAAGAAACCTCTACTGCCAGTCTGCAAGGCAAGAGCTCACTGGAAATGTCTCATAAGGGACAAGGTGCAGGGAAAGTCATAGGATCATCATAGAGCCATGGGATGGGTTGGGTTGGAAGGGACCTCAAAGCTCATCCAGCTCCAACCCCTGCCACAGGCAGGGACCCCTTCCACTGGAGCAGCTTGCTCCAAGCCCCTGTGTCCAACCTGGCCTTGAGCACTGCCAGGGATGGGGCAGCCACAGCTTCTCTGGGCACCCTGTGCCAGCGCCTCAGCACCCTCACAGGGAAGAGCTTCTGCCTAAGAGCTCAGCTCAGTCTCCCCTCGGGCAGGTTCAAGCCATTCCCCTTGGCCTGTCCCTACAGGCCCTTGTCCCAAGCCCCTCTCCAGCTTTCCTGCAGCCCCTTTAGGCACTGGAGCTGCTCTCAGGTCTCCCCTTCAGGAGCCTTCTCTTCTCCAGGCTGCCCCAGCCCAGCTCTCTCAGCCTGGCTCCAGAGCAGAGCTGCTCCAGCCCTCGCAGCATCTCCATGGCCTCCTCTGGCCTCGCTCCAGCAGCTCCAGGTCCCTCTTGTGCTGCTGCCCCAGAGCTGGATCAGGGCTGCAGGGGGGGTCTCCCCAGAGCACAGCAGAGGGGCAGGATCCCCTCCCTGAGCTGCTGCTCACGCTCTGGGGGTGCAGCCCAGCACACGGGGGGTTCTGGGCTCACTGATGGGCTGTGTTGAGCCCTGGCTCAAGCAGGATGCTGCTCCCAGTCACTGCTGGCACAGAAACCTCGGCAGTAACTCAAAGGCCCCCCACAAGATCGCTGCTGAGCATCTGAGAGCCTGGACTGACCCATCTGCCCGAAGGCAGGAGCTGAAAGCACCGCAGAGCTGAGCCCAGCATCCTGGCGTGCCTCAGAGGCAGGGTTTATGGCTCTGCCAGGAGCAATGGGGGCATGGAGCTGTTTGGACTGGACAGATGGGCTGTGGGGAGCACTTGTGGACATCAAAGAAGGCAAAAACTCCCAAATGGGAGGAAGCAACAACAGGAGTGGTGGAGGGAAGGGGCACGAGGGGTGAGCACAGGGATGAATAATGCAGGGCCTGATGGGAATGCTTCTGCAAACACTGACACATGCATCGTTCATCACTGCAGTCCAGTTGCTGCAGCAGCCCCTTCACCAGGCATCCTGAGACTGGTGCTGCCACTGAGAGGCACCCAAACTGCGACTGGGGAGCCTCAGGGAAGGAGAATCTCTTGTCCTGAAGTGGTGGCAGAGCAGAGCCCAGCGCCCCCAGCAGCAGGACCCCTGGAGCAGGCAGGGAGGGATACTCACGATTTCCCACATGGACTGGGCTGGCATGCAGGAGTCACAGTGCACCAGGGACTCTGTGGACTGAGGGAAGGTGTTGGGGACGCTGTAGCTGAAACACTGCCCCAGACAGGCCCTGCAGAGACAAGAGGAGGGGTGAGACCTCAGGGGAGGCGCTGCTCTTCCCAACAGAGGCAGGAAGGAGGAGATGCCACAGGTCAGGAGGCAGCCAGGCAGAAGCAGGGCGTTGTGCGAGTGGCAGCCCCGGAGCCACCGCAGTGCCGCTGCACCCAGCTCCGCGCTGGATCCGTACCTGTTCTGGATGGACTTGGACTCGCAGCCGCTGTGCCCCACGATCTGGGTGATGTTCTTGGCCTCGCACCAAGCGCTCTTGTCGGGGAAGAGGGCGAGCTTGTTGATGGGGGGGGGTGCAGCCAGGAGCAGCGCTGGGAGGAGGGCACCGACCACGAACCATAACATCATGGCCAGCTCTGCCGGAACCCTGCAACTGCACACAGGGAGCGCAGCGTTAGGAGGGCAGCAGCAGGCACCGCTGCTCCTGCAGCCCCGCAGCCGCTCCCGGCAGCCACAAGCCCTGCTGTGCCCGCGGTGTTGGTGCTCACATCAGCCCCGGGCCGAGCGGGCTCTGCAGAACAGCGCGCAGGGAGCGGGGCATCCTGCTCTGCCCCTTCCCTCTGCAAGGGGAGCAAGGCCCCGGGTACCCAAGCTGCTCCCGAGCTTCCCATCACCTCCACCCCCAGCCGGGCCGGGTGTTTGCAGGGCACCAGCATCGCCTCCACGGGCTGAGGCGGCAGAGCGAGGGGGGAGCCCCCTTCCCGCTTCCTTTGCTCGCACCCACAAAGCCAAAGCGGGCCCTGCCGGCAGGGCCGAGGGGCAGGAGCTCCTCTCTCCCCCGGGAAGCGCGCAGCAGGGGTCGCTGCAAGGCAGCGGCGAGCAGGGAGAGGTGGGAAAGCCTCCATGGAGAGGCCGGGAGCGGCCAAGGACCGAACCCGCGGTTCCTTGTGCGGAGCCGCTCAAACCCAGGAACCGCGATGGGAGCCGAGCCTGCGGGGAGCGGGGTCCCTCCGGCAACAAGCACGAACCTCGCTCGCAAAGGCGGTCAGAGAAACCCCACGCAGGGTTTCCCTGTGGCCAGGCGAATTCCCGAGGCACGGTGCCTGCATTAACACTCCCAGTGACCGGGGACAGGCAGATGGAAAAGCATCATAGGAACAGGGGAATTTGTTATTTCCTCCTGTTTATTTATCCAGATGAAGATCCAAGGCCCACACTGGAAAGACTCCTGTTGATTCCCAGGGCTCCTGGGCCCAGCCCTCTAATGCTTGCTGGGGAAGGAGAGGAAAATGCCTCGGTTATCAGACACTGGTGCCAGAGGCAGCTCCATGCTGGGCGCTCCCCTGGTCTCTGCAGTGCTCCCCAACCCCTCCTTGGCTGCAGGACCACGACGCTTACCTACATAGAACCATGGAATGGGTTGGGTTGAAGGGATCTTAAAGCTCCTCCAGCTCCAGCCCCTGCCATGGGCAGGGACCCCTTCCACTGGAGCAGCTTGCTCCAAGCCCCTGTGTCCAACCTGGCCTTGAGCACTGCCAGGGATGGGGCAGCCACAGCTTCTCTGGGCACCCTGTGCCAGCGCCTCAGCACCCTCACAGGGAAGAGCTTCTGCCTTATCTCCAACCTGAACTCCCCCTGTTTCAGTTTGAACCCATCACCCCTTGTCCTATCCCTACAGTCCCTGATGAAGAGTCCTTCCCCAGCATCCCTGTAGCCCCCTGCAGACACCGGGAGCTGCTCTGAGGTCTCCACACAGCTTCTCTTCTTACATGACTGAGACACCCTACAAGAACCTCTCACAGCTCCAGCTCACGTACATTAAGGTCATTATGAAGCAAAGGGGTTTGTCCTGGTACCCCTTCACTGAGCCCAAACTCCTGGATCTGAATTGAGAGACAAGAGATGCTGCCCAGCCTCCATCCCAAGGCAGCAAGAAGAGGGCATCCTCATTCCCTGGTCCCGGGACCTCTGGAGGAATCAGGCAGTCTCTCTGCTAACCTCTGTTTCCTCGTGGTACAGGAACTAATCATAGATGGCTCGGGTTGGAAAGGACCTCCAGGTCATCCAGTAATGGTATAATGCAGCAACACCTTTACAGCCCTCCCACCACTTGCTCATGTGAATGCCCCAGTCCCCAGTGAGAATACGTGCACAAAGCAGGGTTTGCAGCTCCTGCTTGGAGATAAGCAGAGGGGTTTAGCCCCTGAACCTGCAGCACCAGCAAGGAGAGTGGTGTGGTTGAATACATTTGACCTGAAGACAAGGCTCAGGGCTTTCTTGTGCTCCCTGAAGGTTCATTTCCATGTCAATGGGGGAGCTCTGCAGTTCCTAAGAACCCAGCTGAGCTGCGCACACACTTGGCTTGCTCAGCACCAGCCTCATTCCTCAGACACCAGCAGCTCTGTGCTGAGGAATCTCGCCCCAAAGGCAAGTCCGAGATCAGGGCTGGGATGTGACCCAAACAGCAACTGCAGCCCCCGGGGAACAGCCGGATTCCTCGGGAGCCAGCTCACAAGCTCACATCCACATGCCCGTTACAGAGCAATTTCCTCCTTCCCAAAGCAAGGTGGTGGCTGGGGTTTTCCAGGTTTCTATGCAACTCCCCGAGCAGAGAGGCAAACACTGATGTCCGTGCAGGCAGACCGGCTTCCCTGGACCTCTTCCCTCGCCCCAGAGGGATGTGTTCAATAGAGGGGTGTTAGACCCAGTGCCAGCGGCAGGAGGGGTCACCTCCGAACACCTGGGCTCGTCTCCCTTTGATTGCGAGAGGAAGATGAGCGAGGTTGTGCTCTGCTAACGCACAGGACCCGGCCAGCATTCAGGAAAGCCCTTGAACCTGTGCTGAAGCCTCTCCTTTCCCGAGCAGGGATGTTTCAGCAAGCAGGGCCCTAGCAGAGGTGAGCAGGGGAGCTCCTCTATTGCTGGAGCAGCTACAACTCTGCCCCGTTCCATCCCTCGCTGACTTGAACCAGCCGCATCCTCACAGTGCCTTCCTCCTACCCTGGAACCTGCAGGGCCGCAGTTCTAGTCAGTAACGAGGTTTATGCCAGTGCTTAGGAAAACATCGGGTGCAGCTGAGTTTGGGAGGGAGCCTGGGATGGAAAGAGCCTGCTTGCAACCCCGGCGTGCTCACTGGCACAGCTCAGCCCAGTCATGCGAACGGAGCTGCCGCTAAAGCCGTTCATCTGACAGCAGACACATGGGGGCAGACAAAGGCACCGTGTTCCCTCTGCCCCCGGCTGGGAAAGGGAAGGCGAAAAGGAAGGCAAGGCACCCGAGCAGGTCTGCAAGCTCCCCATTAGATAAAGGCACGGAGCGCATTCCTCTGTGACAAGCTAAATTACACGTTGCAGCCCCTACAGGAACAAGTGTGTGCTCCCCGGTGCTGACCCCGGCCCTGGCCTGCCTCACAGGGGCTCTTTTCTCTTTCCACCCCAGGGCACACGGGGCTTTGCCTGAGAGTCAAAGCTGTTCAAGCAGAAAGTTCAGCCCGGCTCCATCCGAGCCAGCAGCCCACGGGGTCTCTGCCCGCTCCCTGCCCATGGCAGCCTCCTCCTCCATCCCTTCCGCACGCGTTGGAGCCATCGAATGACTCAGCCCTTGAGCCTGGCACATCCCAGGCTCCGGAGACAAACAACTCCTCAGCGCAGGCACAGCTGCAGCCTTGTGGGGAGCAGCTCCAGAGCCCTTTCCCAGCCCGTCCCCGTGTCCCTGGAGCTGAGGGCAGCATGTCCCAGTGCTGGCGGGTCCCGAGGCACCGCCTCAGCATCCTTGTGATACCCTTCGAGAGCTGGTGTTAGCAGGCTCAGCTGCTCCGTGTCACCTCGAGGAGCTCCTTCCTCCCATCCCAGGGGCTCTCAGGACAGACCCCGCCAACGCCTGGAAGCAGCTGGGAAATCTACATGGTTACAATGAGGGGAATTACCTCGGAGGCCGCATTCCCACATCCAGCCCACAGCTGTTCCCGGCCACTTGGAAACCAAACACGGCTGCAGGACAATACAAAGCATCTGGTCAGTTTTACCCTCTTTTTCCAGTGGGGAGTTTACACCATCACAGGAGAGCAGCCTGCAGGTGGACACGGGGAGTATTCCATCAGCAGGTTAACACAGTTGTAGGTATTTTCCTTATCCAGGATCTTGCAGTTTTGCCTAACACAGTAAACTGCAGACACAGGCAGATTGTGCTCACGGCCACATCCCAGGTTCTGAGAGACAGCAAGCCCCTAAGCCTTACACACATGGCTTAGCCAAGGCTCAAAGCCTGTGGGTACAGCACAGAAACAGTGTCAGCTCCATGCTGCAGCTAAGGAAAATGAGGTTCAAAGCTGGGAAATTTGCCCTACCTCCAGGCCTAACTCAGATCCCAATCCTTGTGTGAGATGCAGAAGGTCTCAGCATGGACACGATGCAGGTTTCAGCTTCTGCTGTGGATCAGAACTGGGATCTCCACCTTCCTCCCCTGCTGCCCTGGACACAGGGGTGTCCTGAAGGAGCCAGCTTCCCACCCAGCACGGCTCTGATGCCAAGCGCCCAGAGCAACCCCAAGTTGGTGCTGGACATGAATCACAGCACTTGAGGGTCCTGCCTTGTGTTCAACTCATCGTCTGTGCCATTCTGCTGCATGGAGCTGCCACACAGCACTGCAGGGAGAGGAGGAGGCACCAAGGATGCGCTGCTGAATGCACTGCTCCGTGCCTCAGCTTCCCTAATGGAAGAGCAGAGACAGGAGAATGCCATATGCTGGGTGAGCTGATGGGTGCAGAGAGAGTGGGAATGCACAGGGAGGGCTTTGGAATGCTGCAGGGAAGAGGCTGCAGGGGCAGGAGGGGAGGGAGGCCGCCAACAGCCCCTGCCCCACACGATGCCAGTGGGGACACGGTGCTGCAGGGTAAGGAGAATGGAAAGCCAAGGACTCCAGTGGGATCTCTTCTGCTGTGTGGAAGTGGCTGCAGGGAGCTGTGTGTGCTGGGAGGTAGGAGATTATTTAGGCACCTAAGAGGAAGCAGAGCCCCAGTAAGGGATTTGGTGGCAGCTGGAAGGAAACACGGATGTGTCCCACAAAGAGCACAGCTCTCCTCAGACGCAGGGTTTTGTCTCTACAGGAACTTCTGAATGCTGAAAGGCAATTCTTCCACTCAGTATTTGCTCACACGGAAGAAAAGTTCTATCGAGACAGCTTTATTAGCAGGGAAAGTTTCAATCTAACCTGTGAAAACTTGGAGAGTCAATAAAACCTATCAAACCAATGGTTTCATTCAGTGCTTGCCCTTACTTGCCAGCTGAGTTGAGGTAAAACTACATCTGTCAAAACCACAAGGTACAGCATCCTCTGGGGACTCCACCGTTGTGTCTGCAACAGCCCAAATCCATCCCATGGATGCCACAGCAGGGGAGAGGGAAGACAAGGATGCACTGAAAATGGGTAGAGGTGATTCTTGAGGCCAGCAAGGCTCCACTGAGCACACAGCCCCTGCTGGGAGCTCCAGGCTCGCTTTGAGCTGCAAAAGCAGGGAAGGAACAGTGGCAAACAGGGAATTCCTACAAGAGGGTGTCCCATGTTTAACACGCACAAGAATGGGTCCTAAACCTCTCTGGTAACGGAGCAAGAGCTGTGCCATGGGTGGCTCCTGCTGCCCCTGCCCCTTTCCAAAGCAGGAGGTGTCAGAGCTCCCCGTTCGGTCACATACTCCTTTCACTCACGCATGGCTGCGTCATTCACAGCAAGGAAGCAGAAGCAGAGCAAAGCCCTGCAGCAGTTCAAAGCCCTCTCCCTTCCCCAGTCCTAAAGCCTTTGGTACATTGGGAGTTTAAACCTGGCCTCTCGACCATGCTCTGAGCACTCAGAAACTCAGGTCTTCTGCAGCTGGAAAAGAAACCCCAGCTCCTTTACCTACAAAAGCCACTGGAAAGTTACCTATGGACTCATCTAGGCTTAGAACGGGGTCCTGAAGGAGCTCTGCTGGAAAAGGGACATGCAAACAGCCTGGGGAGGAGGCAAGGGTAACCCAAAGTGCTCCTGGTGGCTTATTTCAATTGCTCAATTTCTGCATGAAGAACAATCACGGACAGGAAAACACATCAACAGGAATACATCCCAGCCCCACAGCACCCTCCAGCCCCCCTCTTCTTCAAGCACCTGCTCGAAATGCGGGGCTCTGCTGTGCGGGACCTGGGAAACAAACCTGGAACCAGCTCTGGGGAGCAGCAGGACTGGGGTGCTCGGAGGACTGGGGGAATGGAGAGCGCCCAGGCTGCATGTGAGAGCCCGAGCAAGGAAGGACGAGCCTGTCGCATGCTTTGGCTGAAGCAGTCCCCACGCTGCAGCTCATAGGAGCAGCAGGCACTTACAAACACAGCTGGCAGCAGCGCTCCAGCCAGAGGCCTCGCTCGCATGTCTGGACCTGAAGGAGGCTCGACTCCCTCCTGCGTTTCCCCTGGAGCTGGTGATTCCCACACAGCCATCCCACACATCCCTCTGGAGCAGCACTGCTGCTGCCTGCGGCTGAGGGTACCGGCTGCGGGAGGACGAGAGGTGTCCACATGTGAACTGTGGATCCAAACCCCAACCCCAGCACTGACTGCTGCCCTTGAACTGGGCTATGAGCCCTAAAGCTGCCCCAGCCCCCCTGCGAGCAGCCGCTTCCCCACCAGCACGGCAAGGGGCTGCCTTTTCCTCCACCACAGCATCACTAACCCGGAGCCTGACCCCTATCAGTCCTACCACCGACAGCACGGCCCCAAGGCACCTGAGCGCGGTCACCACTTCCCTTGCTGAAGCCACAGCCTCTCCCCTCCTTTTTTGGTTGAAGCAGCTCTCAGGGTTGGTGGTGAAACCCCCCCCCCGGCGCTCACATCCCCCGGGGCCTGCTTTGCAGGCTGGCACCAGCTCCCTGGGGAGCGCGGCTCCCAGCAGGCCCAGTTCTGCTTTCACTTAGGAGTGAGGTAAACTGGGACCGGCTCCTCGGAATGACTCCAGTGGTGCAAATGAGATCAGAACCTGGCACCGCTCGGCTTGCTCACAACGAGCAGGACTGGAACCAGACACAACCAGTTCACAGTGGCCACCGGGACCGGGGCTCCTCAGCGAGCACACGATGGAGCAGGCAGGGACGGGAGGTGGCTCGGGTGCCACCGCGCTGCCGTTCACCTCCCTCGGTCATTCAGGACCAAACTGGCACAGGAACATGGAGCCCTGTCCTACCCAACGGGGCTGCGCCTCTGGGATCAGGTTCCCGGCTGCTGGAGCAAGAGGGAAGGAGAAGGGTTTGCAGCTGAAGCTGTGGATCTTTCAGCAATGGTTCAGGATCCTTCCTGCCCTGTTCCTCTCCCTTTATGCCCTTTTAGGCCGTATCCTGGTCACAACTGCAGAAATCCAGTCGGCTGGAGCACTGTTTTTCCCTCTTTTAGTCTCTGCCTTACGCTGCACCAGCCTCCTCAGTTTTAAACCCAACGTCTGCATTCCCTACCCATGGCATTGACCGCAGTAGCTCTAATTCTGAAGCAGTGCAGGGCCAGAGGCTTTTGGGGGTATCACAACATCTCACAGCCCACTTGGGATGTGCAACTAACTACCAGACACTGCGGGCTGAGCTCACACTTGATGTTTAGACACTGTCTCCCCTAAAGTGCAGGATTTGGCCCCATAACCACACTGAAATCAAACTGTGAACCCGATGCTGGTCCTTTCCCCTCTCTGGACAGTCGCCTGAGCTGTGTCTCACAGAAGGAGGAGGTTTAAGCCACATCATCGAGAGCAACCAACGCAAGGGCCCGATCCTGACGCCATTTCCAAAGCTCAGCTCCAAAGCACTGCAGTTTTGGCTGGAATGGGGGGGAGCACCCAGCACCGCTCCACAACTGAGTCTTGGGTTGCTCCGGTCCCACCATCGGTGCTCATTTACACCCTGGTCCCTTCCGCCCCCCCAAACGGCACTGTGTGAAGAACAAAGGTCTGGGGAAGCAGGAGCGCTAACGGGAGGCACAGGAGACAGAGCACCCCTCAGCCCACCCCAAAAGCACGATGTTATCAACCAGCAGGGTTTTAGGACTCTCCTCCATGAGGTTTCTTTGCCCTCCGCCGTGCTGGAGCCCCCCAGCACTCTGGTCCTTGCTTTATCCCAGAGGATCTCTGAGCTGAGCAACCAGAGGAGGGTTTTTCCAGAAGACTTCAAACAACGAGGAGCCGGAGCAAGGCTGGAGCAAGTCCCCGGCTCTGATTGCTCCACAGGGATACAGGGGCTGGTGGAGAGCCTGCGACCACGTTAACGGATACAGCATGGAGCCTGGGGAGGGATAACTGCCCAGGAGCTCACTGTGCTGCTCGGGCAGGTTTCCCACTGTACCAGCTTAACACGACCTCAGCGATGCCAACACACAAAGTTACTCCAACATGAGCAGGTCTTCAGGGCTACTTTAAAAGCAATTTGGCTCAATCCTGCACTTCCTGGGCACCCCAAAATTCCCTCCAGCTTTGCCTCGCTCCGGAAAGGCGACCGACCGGGCACTCGGGAAGACTTTGCTCATTCACCCTTTCTGCAAGACCACAAACTCCCCAAGCTGGAATCCAGCACGGAGAGGTCAAGCCAAGAGCCCGGATTCTTCTCAGGGCTGTTTGCAAACACTTGGGATTTTTAGACCAAAGGCAAATTCCATTTCCCATCCTGCGGTTTGCAAATGGGAGGCAAAGCTGCCTTTTAGGAGATGGGAGACTGCCTCCCAAAAGCAAAAGTGCCCATTGTACACAGCCGAGTTTTGGCTGGTTGGATATTGCAAAGAGGACATGCAGTTCTTAGGCTAAAAATACAAGGGAAAACCCGGGCCTCGCCGTATCTTTCCCACTCGTTTCAGTGGAGCGCAGATTCTTCTCCAAAGAAAACCTACAGGACAAAGCTACAGTGTCCCAAAAGCAACCACTCCACACAGGCTGAATTCGGAAGCCAGTGGGGTTAATCCTGTATATAAATCCTATACAGGAAAGGTAGATTGTGGAACAGAGCATACGATTTCCATACAAGTGCCCTTGTAAGAGAAATGTTAGTGGGCAACAAGATTCTTGTATATAACAAGTGAGAATTGCCACAAATACCGAGGCAAACTGAAACACTTCCTTACAACTCAAGAAACAGGTAGAGAGCCATAGGATCTAAGCCTTTGTAATACACCAGCAAGCACGAAACCTATTTGTAGGCTACAAGGGTGTAAATTCATCCCCTTTTTCAAGTAACAAAAGTTCACTGCTTTGCCATCCAGAAAATCCCGTTCCTTCACACTGCCCGAAGCACTCCCCGTCCTCTGCCGCTGCGGTTAATCGATAGTCGGAACGCTCCCGTTCTTCCCTCCGCACTTTTGTTGGAAACCCGAAGGCGATGGGCAGGACTCTGCGCCGCAGATGGGGACCAGCGCAGCGCGGCTCCCAGCCCTTCGGCTTCTACTTTCTTTGCGCTAAAGCGGCGGTGGGAATCGTTCAACGCTCGCACAGCGGCTCCCCCGACCTCCGCCTCATCTGCAACTCATTTCTGGCCATGGCCACACTCTCATCGCACGCGGGGATCGGTGGCGGGGGGAGCAGAAGGGGAAAGAGGCGGAAAAGCGGCGGCGGCGGGTGCGGGGAGGGGGCCGAGGCGCGGAGCCGCGGTACTCACCACCCAGGCGTCGTTGGGCTCAGCCCATGGGCTCCGGGGCCGCGGCGGGCGGCTACAGCCCCGCGGTGCCCGGCGGCTGCCGCATCCCCGGCGCCGCGGCCCAGGGAGGCGCGGGGCGGGCGGGACCGGCCGCCTCCCTCCTGCTTCCCTCCCTTCCCTCCCCCCGGTGCCGGGCTCCGGGCGGTGCCGCCGGCCCCGCCGCTCGCGATTGCACAATCGGGGCGGGAAGCGAGAGGAGAGGAGGGACGGGACGGGGCGAGGGAGCGGCCGCGGCGCGGGGAGCCCCGCTCGCAGCTCGGGCTGGGCGCTGCAGGCACGGGGGGGCCGAGAGCGGCGTGTCCCGAGCGGGAGAGCCGGGTGCGGCGGCTGCAGCCGGGGCTTGCTGCGGAGCGGCAGAAACAAAGTGTGGGCAGGGCGCACCGAACGCGAACGGCTCCCATTTAAACCCAGTGCTTGACAGAGAGCGCCTGGGGTAGAGCCCTGGCACGGGCACAGGCTCTGGGGAAGCTCTGCAACACCAGAGCGGACGGGTTTCTCTTTTCTTTTTGCTTCCCTTCCTCTTTCTCATCCTTCCTTTCCCTTCTCTTTTGCTTTTCCTTCTTCTCCTTCTCTTCCCTTTCTCCTTCTCCTTTCCATTCCCTCCTTCTCTTCCCTTTCTCCTTCTCCTTTCCATTCCATTCCCTCTTTCTCTTCCCTGTCTCCTCCTTTCCTTTCCATTCCCTCCTTCTCTTCCCTTTCTCCTTCTCCTTTCCTTTCCCTTCTCCTTTCCATTCTCTCCTCCTCTTCCCTTTCTCCTTCTCCTTTCCATTCTTTCCTCCTCTTCCCTTTCTCCTTCTCCTTTCCTTTCCCTTCTCCTTTCCATTCCTTTCTCCTTCCCTTTTTTCTTTCCCTTCTCTTCTCCTTCCCTTCCCTTTTTCTCTCCCTCTTCCCATTAAAGAACTACCAGCCAGCCCCAATCCCAGTGAAGCCCATCCATCGCTGTCTTTCAGCTGCAGTAATTGCTAGAGAGCGGAAGGACTCTGTAACGGTGCAATTAATCTAATGGAGGCCTCTACATTAAACACTGGCACAGCACTACCCAAAGCAATAGATACCTGCAAGGCTTGGATGGGCTTTGCTGGCTCCTGCTTGTGTGGAGATTTGCATAGAGATCAGAGAAGGAGGAAGAGGAGGTGGTAAGAAGGCAGCAGCTGTGCTGAGGGGAGAGCTGGCAGCAGCTTTGGGGCTGGGGGTTAGCTCAAGGAGCCTGGAGCCTGCCAGCAATGGAACAGTTTCCTGCTGCTCTGTTCCCTTCAGCTCCAGGACAACAGGAATCTGTAAACAGGGTTGCAGAACCCTGCTGCCAGCATCGCTTTGTCACCCTGTTAGATACAAACTCCCCAGGCCCAAACTGTGCTCACCTCCAGAAGTGCCAACAAGAGGCAGAGGAGAAGCCTTTCACCATCAGGAGCCTGAGCTCTCATCTCCCAGTGTGGTCACCCACTGCTGAACCTGGGCTTTTGGCTGCTCTCTCCCTGCTCCTCATGGCCAGCACAAGCAGCAGTGAGCTCCTGCCTGGGAGACCACTTTATTCCAAATGCCCCATCCCTGGCAGTGTTCAAGGCCAGATCGGACACAGGGGCTTGGAGCAAGCTGCTCTAGGGGAAGGTGTCCTTGCCTGTGGCAGGGGTTGGAGCTGGAGGAGCTTTAAGGTCCCTTCAACCCAAACCAGGCTGGGATTCTATAATTCTATGAATAAAATAAGGAGTGAAAGAGGAGACATCTGAGGCTTGGAATCAATTTCTCATGGCTGTGGATAAATGAGGGGAAATAAAACATAGATATAACCAGCTACAAAGCAACAGACCACGGGCATTAAAGTGAAATTCACCTCAGTACATCTGGTCCGTGGTTCAGTATTTGGATGGGTTCTGTGGGATCCTTAGCACTGGGGTGTGATGAGTGTGAGAGGAGCACCAGGCTGCATGCAGAGCTGTGAGCCAGCGTGCAGCTCATTCACTGCTGCCCTCTGTCCTTCGTGTTCCAGTTCTGCAAGCAGCAGCCAAGGGGAACATGGCAATCCGTGTGTCTGGGGTGGGAGAGCTGAGGTTTTCTGGTGTCAGAAGCAGCAGGCAGAGGTGCTGTGTGAGAGCAGGCTGGGTGGAGGAGACAACCTGCTGCTGGCACAGCCTGGGCTAACACTCTTCATCTTCAGCATCTTCAGACTCTTGCTCCACATCCACCCCCAGTCACCAGCTCCACCCAGCTCTGGGGAGCTCACTGCTGGCCCCTAACCCATTCATGTCAAACCACAGTGCTGGTATTTGACATAGAATCATAGAATAGTTAGGGTTGGAAAGGACCTTAAGATCATCCAGTTCCAACCCCCTGCCATGGGCAGGGACAACTCACACTAAACCATGTCACTCTGCCCAACCTGGCCTTGAACACTGCCAGGGATGGAGCATTCACAACCTCCTGTGCAACCCATTCCAGCACCTCAGCACCCTCACAGGGAAGAGCTTCTGCCTTATCTCCAGCCTGAACTTCCCCTGTTTCAGTTTGAACCCATCACCCCTTGTCCTATCGCTCCAGTCCCTGATGAACAGCTCCTCTCCAGCATCCTTGCAGCCCCCTTCAGACACTGGAAGCTGCTCTGAGGTCTCCACGCAGCTTCTCTTCTCCAGGCTGAACAGCCCCAGTGTTCTCAGCCTGGCTCCATACAGGAGCTGCTCCACTCCTTGAGCATCCCTGTGGCCTCTTCTGGACTTTTCATCCTGAGTGATGTGACACAACACACGTCTCCTCCTTCACCCCCCAACAAGAGCCCATTTCGTCAGCCTGTTATCCTCCACTGCAGACAGACACCACATGAAAACAGAGCCTTGCCCTAAAGCTCCACACCCCCACCTGTGCCTTCCCCTTTCCCCTGCTGTGGGATCACCAAGGCTTCTGTGCAGCGAGACACAGCAGAAACCTGCTCTCCAGTCCCCAGGAGCTTCCTTCCCTCCTCCCTAGCCCGCTGCTGCTGCTTCGGGCCTGCTGACAAACACCCACAGTGCCAGGGGCTCCCCGCTTGTCAGGACAGGACGGGGAGCTGTGGGCGTGAGAATTAAAAGGGTGTATTTGAAAGTTAAAAATAACCCCATCCCTTTTATTGGTGCCTTCACGCAGATTCCAGGGCTCCCTGCCCACAGCTGCCTGCTGGAAAACATAGGGGGGAGAGGGAGCTGGGAGAAGAGGGGGTGAAGGGAGAGGCTGTGTGTCTGAGGGCTGCAGGGAGCAGCCATATCCCCACTGCTGGGCCCATGCTTCAGGTCTCCTCCAGTGACTTGTGTTTTATTCATGATCCCCAGGACACATCATGTAGGGACCAAAGAAGGGCTCTCAACCTGAACCAGAACCATGGAGTGTTTTGGGTAGGAAGGGACTTTAAAGCCCATCCATCTCCAATGGATGATGCCACAGGCAGGGACCCCTTCTACTGGAGCAGCTTGCTCCAAGCCCCTGTGTCCAACCTGGCCTTGAACACTGCCAGGGATGGGGCAGCCACAGCTTCTCTGGGCACCCTGTGCCAGCGCCTCAGCACCCTCACAGGGAAGAGCTTCTGCCTTATACCTAATCTAAACCTACCCTCTTCCATCTTAAACATTCCCCCTTGTCCTATCTCTTCATACCCTTGTAAAAAGGGTGCAAAATTGCATTGGAGCTCCTCAGAACAAAGATGGCTCTTTACCAGCTCCCTGGTAACATCACCTGCTGAAGTTGAATTCCTACTTCTTGGCTCCTAAGACATCTCCAAGCACTTCAAACTGCTGTGTCTAAGGGTATATATGCCTGAGGTGAAGGAAGCAGCACTCACGCCAGGAGATGAAGGCAAAGGTTTTTTGATTCCCCATCACCATCTTGGGTAGATGAGGGGAAGGGACAATGGTGGCAAGTAGGATGTGAGGAGCATGTAGCTAACAACATGCTCGTCAGGTCAATCCACACTGAGCATCTGCCTTAATAACACACAGGGGTAAGGAGAGGCTGGAGGGGAGGGTTCAGCCACAGGAGGAATTTCAACCAGCCACCTCCATCAGGCCACAGCTTTAGGGTAACAGGTTTGAGCTCTGTGCTGAATCCCTTTGCATAAGCAAAGCAGAAAGGCACGAGTCCTAGGGGTAACTTGGCCAAGCTCCACTTGCCTGGCCATGGGCAGGAGAGACCTATGGATGGACCTGGCTGGCAGGGGCTGTGCTTGGTAGTGAAGGAAAAGGATTTCTCATAGAGCTCATTAGAAAACATCTGGGCTCAGCAAATGACCTGGAATGCGACTCGGCAGCGGGGTGCTCCTCTCTTCCGAGTGCCGGGAATGCGAGCTCCTGCAGGGTAAGACTCCAGCCAGCTGTTTCCTCTAATCCCATCAGCCTTCCCTTCCACAGGGGTCCGAACTCGGCGGGCAGGAGAGGAGGAGAACGTCCCCTTCCCTCCCCTCGGTGACTGGGATTAGTGGTTTCTCTCTAGTGCTGTGCCAATGCATTTTGGGGCCCTGGGGCAGCAGTAAAAACATGTACCCCTCCCATCGCTGAGCAAGTCCAAGTGTGTTTAATCGCTCTATTTTCCACCTTGCCCAATCATTCCCTGCTCCCAGGCATGCTAGGCCCCTCCGTCCCTCCCTTCCCCAGCAACTCAGGTCATGCAAAATCCTTCCCCTGTTCAGCTCATGGCTGCAGGGGCAGTTTCTAACAGGGAGGGCTGGGAAGAAGCAGGTGCCCTTTTCCCTGCGAGTTCAAACAGCTTCTCTCTTTCTACTTCCAAAACACTGGTTTCCTCCAGTTCCATTCCAAAGGGATAAATCCCCTCCGATAACCATCTTCTTTGCTGCTGCACAACTTCCCCCTGCTGCAATAGCTCAGAACCTCTGCTTATAGCAGTGCTTTCTCTTGCAGCGCTGCCTGAAGGGCCCAGCCAAGCTCAGGGCCTCGTCACAATAGGTGTTTGTATGTGTTTAGAGACAGCTCTGGCACCAAAGCACCGACAAACTGTCAAGCAGCAGAACAAACACAGAACACACACGTGTGTGCAGGGAACATTTTGCACATTACCAAAAGGAAACCAGCACCGCCTGAGCCGGGGTGACTCAGCCCACTGCAATAGTGAGCTGCTCTTGCATGTTGCTGCT